GTATTTCATCAGTCTGCCTGTTCTGTTCCCTGGTCTGTCTCTGGTGAGTCCTCTCACCCTCCCACAGATCTGGCCTGTACCCCGGTTCTTTTACAAATAAATAAATAAATCTTTAAAAAAAGTGCACTAGGTTGATTCTAGTGTTTGGTTATTGCAAATTAAATACTTGTTTATTCTAAATACTCATTTAAAGAAACTTTCTGAACTCCTAAAGATATCATTTTATTTAAACATATTTTCCTTCAATTCATATTCCTTACTATGGAGCTATTTTAATTATCTCTTCAAAATAGATAATAATTTCAAAGTCATTTTGACTGTCATAGGTGCAGCTAACCATATGAATTTTCAAGTCTTAATGGAAATGTTTCAAGTGCCTCTCTATTTTGCAGGTTTGCTTGTTATTTGAAGCAGTAGAATGCAAAATTAAAAACTTCCTTTTATTCCTGGTTTACTATTTCATTATTTCTTTTCCTACTTTATATATGTTTGCCAAATTTTATCAAAGAAGTTTTGAGAGGATTTTCTGATAGTCTCTTTTGCATTTTCATTCACAAATGGATCAACTTGCAATTGGAGACCCTCTAATTATCAATTGTTGGTAAATATTTATGATTTGCACAAAATAAATTTGAGACATCACATATTTTTAGAGGCTTTACAATATTTTAATCAGAAGCAAATTTTTCTTAAAGTTTAAATAAAGTCCATATGAAATATTACATGGACCTTTTATTTTATCATTAGAACTCTAATTCTTTTTCTAACAATTTCAGTGCTTATTATTGTCTTCATGTTTTCTTTCTGTGTTTTCAGCAATCATATACTGTATGTTGCTAGCTAATGACCTATTACCATTCAAGTTTTCCAATTTACCACCGCAGATAGACAAATTAGTAATACATTTTGGACTTTCAATTGGTGACACCAACTAAATTTTTGACTTATTAAACCTTGTACCCTGTAGTTCTAAATTTTAGTTCCTTCATCAAATGCCTTATTAATTCTTTTTATTTGACATTTCCAAGATTCAGCTTTTGGTCATATATGTATATAATAAATATAATAAATACATATAATAAATATATGTGTGTATGTGTGTGTATAATATATAGTTGTGTATACTTACATATTGTCACTATATTTTTAAAAAAATCATTACTGACTTAACAGCTATTCCACAAAAAATGATATCTAAATGGACAAAAATATCAGCACTCTTATTCATAAACATTTTTCTCATAAATGCAGATTTAAGTTGCAATTATATCAGGAGCAGTCCTTTTTCAGAGTTGCCTCATTGGAATAAAAAAAGAAAATGATAGCACTGTGTCCTTAACCCTTTTACCACTAGAAAGGCCAGGCAAAAGGAATCTAGTAGAAGAGAAGAGAGGAAAAGAGTCAGCAGTGGGCATGGGAGGGCAGGGAAAAGAAGGAAATGGAAGAAAATTTCCTCCAAGTCTGTGTACAATTTAGCATTGCCTCCTGCAAGGTATGAAAATGTGTTTTCTCCTCAAACTTCCTCAGCTTTATACATGTTTGCCTAAGTGAGAGATGAGAAATGGAATTTCATTGCAATTTTACTTTTCAAATTAACTTTCCACAGGGATTTGACCATTTTTAAAAAGAATTTTGATATTTTTCTCAGGTTTTAATCATTCTTTTGCCTTATCTGTAATATCTGTTGAAAATATTTTTCCAAGTTTTCATGTGTATTTTAACCTTGCTTTAGGTGTTTTATGCTATGCCAGATCTTTCTATCTTTAAAGTCATTATGTTTATTTTTTAGGATAACTTAAGAAGTCTTTCCCCACAATGTAATGATGGCAATTTTTCTCCCATATATATGCATATTCCTTTAATATTGTAAGATCCATGGTCCATTTGAAGTTTATTCCTACATATGAGGAATATATCCAATTTTAACCTTTACAAACAACTATCCAGATGTCTGACAGAACATCTATTAAGAGGCCCATGTTTGACAATAATGTCTTTTCACATAGGAATTTCTGTATGTAGTTGAGAGAACTTTTGGCCTTTGCATTCTATTCCACTAGTCTATTTCTCTGTTACTAGCCAGAAAACTGTTATAAATGGGGAATTTTGAAATTTATTTTAATATTAGTAGACAAAGTCATTCTCAGAACTCGGCTTATGTAGTCTGCATAGTCCATTGACTGCCTTTCACATGAACTTCAGGATCAATTTATTCAGACCCATCAGTCATTGGATGTTTATTGGGATTATTTCAAAGATATAAATACACTTAAGCAAGGGTCTTATCCAAAAACAGATGGCTTTACCTTTCTAAATTCAACTGTTTTGTCTTTCTAAATATTTTCCATATTTTTCATATATATTATGAACAGCCTTTGTTAAGTATATTGCCAAATACTGCATCAGTTTTTCACCATTGCAAATAAGGTTTTTCACGTATCATGCCTTGCACATGATTTGAAGGTTGTGACATATGTATCTCTGGAGATACTGAGAGAGCATGGATTTTGTGTAGTTTTATTTGATTTTTTAAATTTTTCATTTGAAGGTAAGATATGTAATAAAACTACTCCTAACACATTGAAGATACTGATATAAAACAAGTAACTTTTTTCTTTTTTATCCAATGGCATGAAAGTAGAATTCCATAGCAAAAGAAACCAGAAAGTTCACAAATTTGTCTCACATCTGTTTTTGTAGATAAGTTATTTGTAAAACAAACCATTTATCTATATCCAAGATTTTTTTTTTAATTACGATGCCAGAGCTAAAGATTTTAAACAGATTGACCAAAGGTAGAAAAAAAAAATGCTAGCTAGTTCTTTAAAGATAAATTTCCAAATACTCACTAGAATTTATATTTTAAAAGTTCAAAAGGTATAGAAAATTATGAAATTAGAAAGTGTTTAAATAGTAATGATTTCCAAGTTTATAAAATGGAAAGAAACTGTAAGTTTTCAAAGATTATTTCAAGTAATGTGTATTTAAATAAAGAGAAATAATATGAGACAGCAGGAGAAAAAGAATTAATTTTAGCAGTGGGAACCATGAAATGTCCAGGAACAAGCTCCTCAACATTCATATTTACATGGAGACATATATATATATATATATGTGTGTGTGTGTGTGTATATATACACATATATATATACATACACACATACACACACACACACACATAGATATATTTTCAACTTGATGAAGCTGCCGATATTTGTGTCTTGAAAAGGGTCTTCAGGAGAGCTCAATGAGAAGTTTCATGCAGAGTCCCAGCAAATAGAAACAGGCACAGAAAGACTGTTTAAATTGCAAGTTGACTTTCAAATATGAAATAGTCCCTAGGTACCACAAGGAATTTTGAACTGTAATCAATTTACCACAACTTATTAGTTAGTTAGCTCACTGTCCTTATTTTTGCCAACAGCCAAAAATTGACAATGAAGCATCTCTGGATATAAGCAAAGAACTCTCAGTCCATCTGCAAAATAACTGTTTTTATTATCAAATTTATATCACATTAATGGAGAGACTAAGAATTAAATATTAGGATGAATAGAAAAGGATTACATGTCCTGCAATCTGTGAATTAAATCCTTGGTTATTTTATCAAGAATCAAAAGTCCTTATTTAAATTCAGTATCCAGAGACTCAAAATATGAAGTATTGAATCCTAACTGAAGTTTGAAACTCACTCCCAACATATGCCCACAGGACTTTCCACAACACCAAAATATTCTTCCATGCACCAAACCTTACAAGATTACATACATCAATATTTAAAGAAAAGTATGAAGAATTGCTTAAAGTAATGATTGAACACATATTTAGATCAACACAGAGAGAAATTTACTGAAGTAAAAACAAGTTCTTCAAATCAGAGACAGAAAAATTCCACTGCAAGTCACACAATCCTAATGAACTTGCAGTGAACAACACAAGGAAGGGCCCTATGTGTGATGTATGATGTCCCTACTATTGGGCACCAAGTTGTTAGAAGTAGACAACCCCAGGGCTATGGGGGTGACCTGAGTATGTCTTCACCTTTATGTTTTAGGACAAGGGACAAGACTGAAAAGCAGAAACCACAGATAAATTTTAAAATGCTTTATTTACAAAGGGCTAGAAAAAGGAGAGAGAGAGAGAGAGAGAGAGAGAGATCAACTGGATATTTCCTACCAAAAGTATCAACTGAGGTGAAACGCCTGGGTGCAAGTCAAATCTGGAAAATCAAGAGAGTGACAGCATGCATTTGTTTAGGATTTAAGGCAAATATGGCTGCATAACTCTCCCCAAGTTCCTAGTAGACCCTGTAAAGGAAGCCAGATTCAAGGAACACTGGGAGTTGTAAGTATCTGTGATCTCAGTGGCTTGGAGACTAGTGTGTAGTCTATAAACAGATCAGTGGGTGAGGTTCATTTAGCATTGCAATCACAGGCTCACATGACTCCTACCATTCCTATAACTAAGAAAGAACTAACTACACAATTTCGTGAAAACAATAGAATACCTAGCAATCTAAATGCAAAGGTCAAATACAAAGACACATAATAGAAAATTGTCAATTATCCAACATAAATATACAGAAATCCAGGAAGAACTAATTTCAAGAAACAAGAAACAAAATGTCTCTTCCAAATTTAGTATGCATACAAAAGACTTGAGTGATGTTGACATATATCATTTGATATGAATCTTTGCTTTATCTAAATTCTACAGAGGTTGTATAAAATTATATGCATAAAGCCTACACAATACAATGTTGAACATGCATTTATCAAAATATCCATTAGAATATTTATATATATATATCTCGATGCTTTATAATTTCAAGCATAGCAGCACAAATTTATCAATTTTAAAGCATTTCAAATATGTCAAAATCATACATACAGTCAGACACATACATACAATGAGAAACATTTCATAGATTCTAGAAATACATAATTGGAATACCATTCTTTAGATGGACCATCATTGTCCACTTCTGCCTCAAGAAATACCTGTAAGTTCTTGCTTACAGATAAATAAGAGTGTCCACATGCAAGGTTGATCCTGAACACCAAAGTTTGGGTTGTATACTATGCAGTTCTTTGGATTTGTAGTTTCATAGGATGAGAATCTGTAATGAAAAATAAAATATTAACACTTGGGAAAAGGAAATGAGACTATTCATTGGTGGGTGTTTACCAAATAATGGCTCTTTTCAAAGCATTTGATTGACTCATTACCAACTCATTGAGCCAGTATGTTTTTTATGCAATAGCCACAGTTTTGACACTTACAGAGAACAATATTACAAAACTAGGCTATGCCTCAGGAAACAACAGCACAGAGTTCAGTCATTTTTTTGCATTTGTTTTAATGGATTTGGTATAGTATATCCTCTGCTTCAATTTTGCTTAAATATGTTTTGACTAAACTGGTCTAGGTAAACAAGGTAGGTGATACAATTGTATGATACTAAAAACTGTGTTTATCAACAAAAAGGAGATTCAAAAACTACAAACACACAGAAAATTAGTCCAGAAATTTTGAAAAGAAGGAAGTGTAAGCTGAGGCTATTGACTTCCAGCAAAATAAAAGCTATCATGGACACTGTTTTCCCTGGATAGTTCCTGTGAATGTAACATCTGTGCATCCACCCACACCCATCAGGGTGAAAAAGCCTCATCTCAGGTATCCCACAAGTTCTTTTTGGTCACATGTACACAAATTTGATGGTAATTGACTTGTGTTTTCCAGATGCAACAAAATTATTATTCTTTGGAATTGAGTTTGTCTACATTATCATGCTTTAGGAAAAGGATCTTAGCAAGAGTTGTGGAGAGATAGGAATAAGTTCATACAGAACAGAAAAACTCTGAACAGAACAAACTTACAGATCTGGAGTGAGAGCAGAGCCATTCAGCCACACCCAGGTTTGTAGTTTTTCACTGTAGGTGACTCCAATCCAGTAAAATTTTCTACTTAATTTCATAAAGTGCTGCTCAGAGACAGAAACAAACAATTATAATTTAAATCTACTCTGGAATAATATTGTTTTAAAAAGTTAGTTCAAATTCCTGCTATGTGGACTATAAACAAGATGAAAATGCATACAGTTGCAAAAATGAAAATTGATGTACAAAATATATTAAATTAAAAATTAAAAAAAAAGAAATACTTTCACAGAAATAAAAAAAAGTTAGTATCCAACATCAGATTCAGCCTTTCAATCTAAGCACTTAAAAGCAGTTTTAATTCTTGACTTAGGAGGTGGTCACAAGTCCATTTTTTCCTCAAATATCAAGCCTATCTACTTATGGGGGAAAATAACATAAAAATCTCAGGTCTTCACAGAATGAAGACTTTATCATATATTACTATATATTAAATATTATATTATAACAGGAGTTAGAATTTTACTTCACAGGAGTCTAACATCCAAATTTGACTCTGCAGCAGAGTCTTAGGGAATACATTTTGTGGGTAACATCTTCTCAACTTATATTCAGTACAGATTCTGCACACAGTTAGAGAAATATTTCATTTTTTCTTAAGAACTGGGTAATTTTTATGATCACACATTTCATTTTCATTGCATATCCCATAATGATGACACAATATACAGAATTACAAAATAAATTATAAAATTAATGAAAGCACTGCGATTCAGTTATTTAGTTTTTTTTAGAAAAATACTCATATATTAGATTCTCTTTGAATTCTCTCTAAAATATCTCTTGTACTTTATCTGACATTTCTCCTGAGCTTTTTCACACTAAAACTCTGAATTTATCAATTTCCTGATAAAAATTTATAAGTTTTATAATGATTAAGTAAAGGCTATTAGTAAGTCATTATTTCAAAAAATATTCTTAATTATCTGATTAAAGATGGAATCTAATTCATCCTACTTAAATAGCACACATTCCTAGGTAAAAAAAAATACGTAGGAAACCAGAATTAAATACATGCCAATTCATCTCTGTTGTGCATCTGAAAAAGTATGGAGTTCTGAGAAAGACAGAAATTGTGACTTTCATTCCAAGTTTTTGGTTCGGTGGAAATGAAGTAACAGTTGCATCTGTACAGGATCCATCTTTCCTGGCAAGAACAACAGTCAGAATCTAAGAAAAAAAATAAAACACAACTTTTGATATTGGAGATTCTGATTTTTAATACTCTTCTCCTATAAAAATATTGGTGTTTTTCCTACAACTTTCTAAAAAACTAAATTCAGTGTTGAACACCCATTATAATATTTATCTTGATGCTTTATAATGTCAAATGTAGGTGCACAAATTCATCAATTCTAAACATTTCAAATACATGAAAATCATATGATTCAAAACAATTAGAAACATTTTACAGGTTCCAGAAGACTCTAATAGTAATACCATTCTTCAGGGGGACCCTCATTGTCCACTTCTGCCCCAAGAAATACCTAAACAAATTGTTGCCAAAAAAGGAAGAAATTCCTTGAATATCTATCTGAATATAACTGGATAGTCTAGAAGCAGTTAAAAAAGTTTTTTCTGGGGGCCTCTCCTGGTGGCGCAGGCTCTTGAGCACAGCACTATGACGCTGTCTGCAGTCTCTTCAGCGCCGGTTCGATCACGGCAGACCAGCGAGGGTACCACATGGCACAGCTGACCTCTCCTGTCGCGCCTGCTGGTCCTCTCAGCAGTGCATTTTGTCACTCTGCCTATTCTGTTCCCTGCTCTGTCTCTGGTGAGTCCTCTCGCCCTCCCCTGCATCTGGCCTATACGTAAATAAATAAATAAATCTGTTAAAAAAAAAAAAGTTTTTCTGTTCAGTCTTAAATGTACACAATGTCCCGTGTCAATTATATCCCAAAGCTAGAAACAAATTGAAGGAAAAAAGAATAAAATAAAGTGAGAAATAATCACAAAATATATTGAGACAACTTTGAAAGCTCACTAGGTAAAATACATTAAAAATTGTGCATTGAACTGCTGAAATCTGTTTACTATATTCTGAGTGATGGGAGATGCAAAAACACAGGAAAAGATATAAATTCATGGGTTATGAGCAAACACAATTAAGTAACTAGGATTAGCTGGGATATATAATAGAACTTATGTTTTATTTATTACTTAAATATGAATGTTCATATAGGAAAAACTAGGTTATTTCAGGTTAACATTTTCCTTATTTAAATACACAAATGATGCATATTCAAAGTAATTTAATAATTCTCACAATGGAAGACAAGGAAATGAGACAATCCTGCAATTAATATATCAACTTGCAAAACTAGATCACAGTACTCCATCATGATTCTGTGTGAGAAAAACAGGACACTGCATATTTCATCCTCTATCAACCCCAATTTACGAAGTGTGGAATTTACCTTCCTGGGATATGAGGGTGGTTCCTGGAGAAAGTGTTGGTTCAATATCTGCTTGAGGAAACACTATCAGAAATGATAAGAAATTAACTATTAGATACAAGTTTGTGAAACGATAAAATAATTCACATTAGTAAATAGAAAGCTTTATTAGAAATCAATCAAAAGAATGATTTCATCAGTGCTCTGAACTATATATAAACTTGACCAAGAAAACTCACAGTTTTTCAACACAATTCCCAAAATAGCCATCAACAAAAGGCACAATATTGCTAAGATCCCAGATATCCACCTCCATGGAGCGGTGCAAAAACCTATAAAGAAAGAGAGGTAGGGTAATGACTTCAAAGAAAGACATAGATCCGAAGACCTCAAAAACAGAAACTAACACAAGAGAATCGAAAAAAAAGTTTTTGGTTTGAAAACCTCTTCATCTTCCCAGTGAATCACTAGAAATATGAAGACAATGCATAGAAAACTGAAAACAAAAATCTATTCTTCTGTGAGATTATCCACACTTTTTCTTTTTGCCAAATGCATGTCATTAATGTGATTTACAAATTATTTATTTGTTGGCATAGAAATTGAGACATTATAGAGTAGAAGTGATCAGACAAAAGATTATGTTTTGGTCTTCATGCCAACATTTGCTAATATTTTTTCATCAAAATCACAAGTGATAAGATTCTTATTAGATAGTTGAGAAAACTAGAATTCATTAATAATGTTATTTTTTTAAGGCATCGACACTAGTAACAACTCAGAAATAAAATAAATTTGTCTCCCTGAGTCTTTCATGTAATTTATTTATCACTGTGTAAATCACACTTCTGAGGACTGTGCACTTCTCCTAATCTCAATGTATTCCCTGATAAAGTGCCGTCAGGCTGCTCATAACTCTGGGAGGTCCTGTGGGGAAGAAAAGACAGGATTCTCTAGTCCGGGGATAATCAGATGCTCCCAAAACAATTATGTGACACACCCGGGCGACCGGCATTTATTTCACATATTTTGAAAGATGATATAAAAGCAACCATTTTGAATAAGACATTTTCTCATTCCCAGAGTTACTTTTCTACAGGAATTTCCCCTCAAGCAATTGACCATTAGAAGATTCAGCACAATCTCTAAGAACAGTGTCAATAACAGTCTACTGTGTCAGGCTATTAATCAGGATGACCTTGGATGTCAAACATAAATGGTCAACTTATATAAACTTGTAAGCATCATAAAGGATATTTGGTCTCCCCTATATTTTTTAAAGCTCAAACTGTATTGCTCATACTTTTACCTGGTAAATCAGTCCCATAAGCATTTAGTGCTATCCCTGTCAGAAGCCAAACTTTTAAACTGTTGGAAAAACTTCCACAAACTAATTTATATGGCAGAATGAAGAATTTTGAAAATAAAACTAAATGGAAAATATTGATATATGATAAAAAAAAAAAATCACTTTTTCCTGTCCTGTCCTGAAGTTAGCAAATCCATGACATACACCTTCAGGTTGTTTTAATTTTTTTAACTGTTCAGTTTGGATTACACATACCTGCCATGAGGAGAGATGTCCCAGTCCATGCAGAGAAGACTCACTGTGTGCTTGTTTCAGAAAATCCAGGTCATGTCATGGACTGAGCTGGAGGCTGAGCAATCTTGAGTTTGCGTAGGAAAAATGTAAAAGAAAAAGAGAAATTGTGCAAACAGTGTTGTTATATCACCTATGTACTGGTGAAAATGGATGGACAGTCTGAACCAGAAGCAGCAAAATCACGAGCTTCTGAATGTCTGGGACCACAATACAGGAAGTTGCTGTACCTGCCAAAGCTTCCCTTTGTTAATGGTAAAAGGTCAGCATGAGTTTTGTTTTTTTTTTTTAATGACTAAAGATCAAAATAATTTTTTAAAAATATTTGGGGGCCTCCCTGGTGGCACAAGGGGTTAAGCACAGCACTGTGAAGTTCTCCACAGCCTCTGCAACACAAGATTGATCCCTGACCAGCCAGGGAACTACCCACATGGCGCAGCAGACCTCTCCTTACTTGCCCGCTGCTCCCCTCAGCAGTGTATTTCAATCTGCCTGTTTTGTTCCCCACTCTGTCTCGGTGAATCCTCTCATACCCTGCACTTCTGGCCTGTACCGCAGTTCTTGTATGCATAAATAAATAAGTCTTAAAAAAAGTGTTTGGAAAACAGGAGGAACCTGGGGAAATTTAAATATGCAATTAGTATAATAAAGTTGCACATAATAAAAATTTCCTTTTTTAATAAGAAAGTCATTACTTACATGGTGCCTCACACTAATTAAAGCACTTAGCATAGTTTAGATTTATTTGAAACTGACTTAATAATGAAGATATATAAATAAACTCATTATTGGTGAAAAACCAAAGGCATGAAAAAACTAAGAAAATTGTCAAGAAGACTTACATTTGAAATGTGGTAGTATATCTCCATGAATTCATGCAGTTAATTTTAAATTAAGCCTTTTCTCCACTTTTGTGTATTTTGTGAATTTCATTTTCTTAGCACAGAGTAGTTGACATTTCCATGTCTTATTCTGCACTGTGATCCCTGACTCTATAACTCAGCTAGGGAAGTCAAGGATAAAAATAATTTAGAAGCACAGTGACCTCACACTATTGTTCCATGCATACACGCATGCACACGCATGCACACACACACACACACAAACACACACACACACAAACACACACACACACACATGTGCTCTAGCACAGTCTCAGCTGGCCTGAGCCTGCACTCAGTGTCTCATTCACGTTAACCTTCAAACCTTCCTTCAACACTTGTCGCCCAAGTGTTCCGTTCCCCTCAGGGCTTTGAAAGTGACTATAGCTCATACAGGAAGACATTGGTAATACCATTACTAAGCTAATTAAACAATTATGAAGCTAATTAAATAATTAATTAATAATATTAACAAATAATTAATAATTAATTACATAAATTTCCACCTGATAATGAGGTGGAAAAGATTTCTGAACCTTGAATTGCTGAGATAAAGGACTTCCAAGATTCATCCTGGGCTGGAAAATAATAACACCTCTTTATACCTTTACAACAAAAAAACAATAACTGAATAGAAAGCAGAAATAGTATCAGCAGCTCCTTAGAGCAGTAGCAAAGAACAAACAGAAGAAGAATCATTGATTTTACTGCCAACCTCTTTTATAATGTGAATTTTTAATGAATATTCAAGTTTAGCTTTGGAAACAAAATGAACTTCTGACCAAAAAGCATAAATTCCCCCAAAAGAATAATTCATAAAGCACACATAAATATTTTGAAAGATGGTATTTTATAATCTGCTTCAATCATCATATAAAGAATGTTACTACTCCTAATTCTCATCTTATTGAAAAATAAAATTGTTTTAGTTTGATACATATTGTCCTTATACCTTAAGAAAGAAATGAAGTTTTCTGTAGTTCACATGAGCACATTGTTTGGTGAAAATGTGAAACCAAATCATGTACAGCTTATCTGTATTCTTAGGGCTTGTAACATACAGTTAGGATCAAAATAATATTAACAACCCAAGTTTACTAGGATATGTCAGTGACATTATCACAAGAGTTTTAAAATATATGATACATGACATTTAGGAAAAGTGTTCTCTCTCAGTTGATCAGTGAAAAAAGAGCAAAAGCTTCCTGTAGTGTGGAGCAAGAACATCTAAGAGGAAAAAAAGTTCTGAGTCTAGTCCCCACATCATTTTATTTTGAATGATATATTTGCTTTATTTCTATCAATGTAGATGGAATTACTTCTTTTTTATAATTATTATTATTATTATTATTATATTACATCATTTTTCCTTTCTGTACAGTCCATGTTCTCTCCTCTCAGGTGCAGTCCCCACATCTTAAGTAAGTTTTCTTCTGGCAAAATCTGGAAGCAATCACTGTGATCCATGACTTCAAAGTGAGAGGCTCAAATTGTTTTATCAAATACATTAAAATCAGGTGTTTTATATTTTTTTATATTTATGCTTCAAGCAGAGACTTGAATTATATCAAAATAATATATTTGGTTTAAAATGTATGTAATATATTAGAATAAAATAAAATACACATTGATACAATTCACTGTCTTTGGAGGTGGGAAAATGATCCTGTGGTGTTAAAATGTACAGAGTCCCTTTTTTGTCAGAATTGGCTTGAATTCCTCCTAAGAAAACTGTGAAAAAGGTTGTTTCTTATAAATATAATGGCTTTCATTTTACACCTTTCCACTTTCCCTGCTCTGTACAGACTGATGATGATAATTGAAACAAAGAGAATATATGCGAGCGTGCGTGCATGCATCACATACCTGTCTACAAATACATAAGGTCTGAAATCTGTATGGACACACAGACATTTTCATCCCTTGGGCCAACTGGGGTAAACTGGATGGAGAAGAATAATTATTATTCTGTTTTCTTTCTTTCCTTGTCTCACATTTCACATCTGGAGCTTGACTTCACTATGGAATGTGAATGACTGACATCATATCTAAGGTTAAACTCAAAGAAAAAGCACCCACAAAAACGCTCAGACACTTAACACAATATAGAAAGGAAAATAGCACCTCCATCACCAGGTGCTGAGTGGATCTGATTGAGTCAAAGATGGTCGGAGGTTTATAAAGCCCTGGCTGAAAGAGAGTCAATTAAATAAAATGAATCCCAACCCTGCAGCCCAGAGACACGAAGATTCACACATTCATTTTTGCTCCTGCAACTCAAGGCACCTTATGTTTTGAGTAAACTAAATTCCTGCCAGCAGATGTAGCCACTGAGTCTTGCACTCCAAAGTGTTTGTTCTCTTTTAATAAGAAAATTATCTTGGATTCATCTTTTTATATTTCTCTTTTTTCATTTTTTTTGGCCATTCACTTACAGAATGTAAATCACCCTCACCTGCCTTCATCTAGGAGCGTCAGAACAGAGATGTGATGAGTAGTGTTGCTTTGCTAATTTATTAAAGATCCCACCTCCTGACACCTGAATCCAGTGAAACACTGTGGGTAAGGGTTGGCTTGTCCTGTACCTGGAGAGTCAGGGCAGGTCCCATGAAGCCACAGCAGGTCCTTCTTTCTTAAAAGGATGGGACTATTTTGGATATTTAGACCTCCAACACAGTTCCATTTGATATTTCAGAAAAAAACCTGCATCATTTTAATACAAATGATAAAATGACTTAAAATTACTAGCTTGATGGAGCTCCAAGTAGCTGCTAAATAAAACAATGGATGACATTTTACTCTATGTTCAAATCAATATTAGATTTTGTTTTTATTTCTCTCTAGTGGCCTAAGGAACAAAATATGAACTTATTAAGCTTCTTAAGTGAAATTTCATAGGGTAAGTGCATTGAATACATATATTGAATATCATGTATTCAACAATTTGACTCATTTTTGCAGAAACATGGCTGTTTACTGATCTAATTCTTATTGATCTATTTTATTATAAATTTTCCGAAATGCTATCAATACTTCCTAAAAACTTGAATTTTATAGAATTTCTATATTTTCATGTTATATAAAACGATCTATAATAAGCCTAGAGCCCGAGAAAGATTTACATATGTGTTCAATGTCTAGCAGTCAAATTAAATGTTTACATTCATTTTTAAGTATTTTTCAATAGCTCCCAAAGGAAACAACCAATAATTGACTCTCTTCTGAAAAATACACTGTAATTCCTGAAGGAGGGCATGTCACCACTATATGAAAGTGCATTAGAAATGAAGTGCAGTCGGGCCTCCCCTGGTGGCGGAGGCAGTTGAGTGCTGAGCTATGAAGCTGTCTATAGCCTCTGCAGCACAGGTTCGATCTCAGCCAGCCAGAGAGAGTCCCACATGGCAAGCAGACGTCTCCCCCCTGCTCCCCTCAGCAGTATACTTCATCAGTCTGTCTGTTCTGCTCCCCACTCTGTCTCTGGTGAATCCTCTCACCCTCCCACAAATCTAGCCTGTACCCTGGTCTTATATAAATAAATAAATAAATCTTTTAAAAAAATGAAGTGCAGTCATTTAGAATTGTAGCTAAATATGAAGTACTAATTGAGCACAGATCTTGTGTTGGAAAATCACTTCCTTTTACTGGGGATTATCAGAAGACAATGTACATTTTATGCTCATTAGATCTCATAGGATAAATCATATGTTTTAGTTATACTTATATACTTGAAGATTTATTTGTCATTAATTCTTTGTTAAGATCAGTAGAGAAAAAGGAAGAAAGAAAAATGTGAGACAATTATCTTCATGGAGTATGTCTATGTAGCACAAACCTTCTACATGCTGAAACTTATCATCAAGGTCTTTTTTGCAACTACCCTATGAGGTAGTCGGTTCTCTTATTCACTTATTTTTTATGAAGATGGATAGAAACTGTACACAAATTGTTTGACTAACAAGACTGACATCATCCAAGTGGCAGACACAAGCCATCAATACAGACAGTTCATCTTCACACCCTGTGTTGTCAATTACTCACCACATTAAACTGTGGAAATGAAGACAGGAAGCCAGTGTTAATACTTCAGCATTTCCCAGAGTCTCATTAAACTGACCTCTACATTTCCCAGAGTCTCATTAAATTGACCTCCACAGACATTGTGATCTACTTGATAACTTGGTATCATTGGGAATCACAAAAGGATGTGTTTGCAATAAATGGAGTGAAATTTCAATACATCACTTGTATTGAGGGCATGTGCGTGATGAGGCCCCTCTAAGTTACCTAATGGAAAATGACTTTGCCTGAAACAACCTTTTTATACTTTTGCCAAGCATCTTGTCCCATCCTCTTTCTGTCTTTATAATCCCTCCATGGTGTGTAAGCCCTGCATATACTTTCTATGTGCTAGTCAGGATGAAGTGCTTTTGAAGAATCATATAACAATCCAATTAGAAATGTATATTTATTCATTATATTTTTTAATAATACATTTGACTGTATGAGGAATATTTGGTCCCACATGTGGATTTCACTCTATCTGCTTACATTGATACATGTGTACATATCAAGAAAGTAGCTGATAACAAGTGAATTCTCAACTCTTTCCTACAAATATAATTATGACTCAGACACTTCTAAGATTACCTTTTTTATTTCTTTCCTTGTTGCAGGAGATATTGCCTGGATGTCTTTTTGCATTATATGCGTTCTGAATCATGAAAATAAATGAGAAAGATCATTTTTAACCTCAAAGAGAAAATTAATCAAACAATCCTATTTGCCAAACACTACATTTACATAGAAAAAAAAGTGATTAAATGTTTTGCATTAAAAAAAATCAATGTAATGCGGACATAAAAATAAAAATCAAACTTTATTACGACAAGTCCATACAGCAATTGTGCAGAAGACAGAAATTCTATTCATGTAACAGTCTGGGCAAGCTTCTCGCAGTGAGATAAAATAATTTTCTAAAGAAAAAGAAGGAATTTTTCTTGTAAAGCAAATATGACAACTGATAGGCATTAAGTAAAGTTCATGATATACTTTAAAATGAACAACAATTCTATCTATTTTTAAGATACAATATTCAGTCTCTGTAGAGATTATTTTATATGGTCAAGGAATAGAGTGGATCAAAAATGCATTATTGTCAACAGATTTTTAAGTATGAGTAGAAAAGAAGTGTATTTCTATTTTACACAGTGACTTACACTTCATAGCTAAGAATCCAGCAGACACAAGCAGCGCCGGGCAAATGATCTCAGAATCACTGCAAGGACTTTCCATGAAGAAGATGAAGTAGAAAGATCTAGAAAAGAGGTAAATAAGCCTGTTATATCAAGTCTAAAATTCCCTGAGTTCAGCTTCTTTTTTTAGGTGTGCAACACAGCTCACACCTAAAAGAAGGAAAAGCAAGGTAGTTTGCAAAGTCATTATTCATTTTGAGTGAGAAAGCTCAATTCAAAAGCACCTCGTTGAACTGAATTCTAAAGAGACATCATCACCTGTGTCCGTGGAGAGACAGAACACAGACTCTACTTCACTTTTTCAAATCAGAGGAGAAAAGGAGGCAGCCATGAAGCACTGGAGAATTTTAACAAAGTCTCTGAGAGGTGAGCAAGTTATTTTAAGATTAGAATCCCTTTATCTGTAGAGCAAGGTGAGCCAATTCTCTTTCCAACAGAATATGTTGATTTCTACTGGGTACTCATGGAAAGAAGAGAAAATTTTAGAAGAACTAGGAGACCCTCTTCTGTGGCACTGTTCTTCTAAGGGACTGCCATCATTTGTGGGTGTAGCATGTATATCTGGGGACCACACCTGACCTGATAGTTAAGGTAAAAGTGATGAATAGTGATGTTTGAGGAATAAACATCAAATCCATAGAACCAGAAATTCCTAATTTGAGGACTGTGATGGAGACAAGATGCCTCTGGAAAAGGAATGTTCACTCCCCACTACAGCAAATGTAAAATTTTGTTCCTTTGAGATTCTTCCTTTTGCTTAGTTATTAGTATAAAGTTTTTCTACAAAAATCTAATGGTAAATATATACATTGGAAAATTGAACTGTTCATTAGTATTAATTTTCTTAAATTTAAATACATTACAGGCAATTCTAGCTTAAAAAACTTAAAAAATTGAAAATACAGTAAAATAATAATAAAATTAATTTTAAAAACATCCAAAATAGCTTCTTAAGCTCACGCACACTTAATTTGCCTCCTATCATCTCCTTTTAAATACTTTTCTCTTGTCGTTTTCTCTATGTCCTCTTTCCCTATCTGTAAGTCATATTTTACTGTCTTTTCAAGGAGAGACATAAATTATAGGTATAGATCTTGAAAATTCTATATGCAAATGTATAATTTGTAGCTATATATATATCCCACACATTTAAATCTTCTGTCTTCAAATGTATATGCCTTTAGTTTCCTTCAATCTCATTTCCCTCAAAATTATAAAAAAAAAAAGATATTGAGACACAGAATAAATATCTGGGAAATTATAATTACCTGAAATTTAGAAGAAAATATCTGATCTTTTGGGAGAGTGTATATAATATCCTGGAAAGAGGCGGGCATTAACTCTTACTATTTTATATATGCTTGCCAAATTTTATCAAAGAACTTTTGAGAGGATTTTCTGATAGTCTCTTTTGCATTTTCATTTACAAATGGATCAACTTGCAATTGGAGGCCCTCTAATTATCAATTGTTGGTAAATATTTGTGATTTGCAAAAAATAAATTGGAGACATCACCTCTTTTTAGAGGTTCTACAATATTTGAATTGGATAGCCGCAAATTTTTCTTATAATTTAAATAAAGTCCATATGAAATATTACATGGACCTTTTGTTTTATCATTAGAACTCTAATTCTTTTTCTAACAATTTCAGTGCTTATTATAGTGTTCATGTTTTCTTCCTGTGTTTTCAGCAATCATATGCTATATGTTGCTAGGTAATGACCTATTACCATTCAATTTTTCCAATTCACCACTGCAGATAGCCAAAATAGTGATACATTTTAGACTATCAATTTGTGACACAGAACTAAATTTTTAACTTATTAAACCTGTGCCCTGTAGTACTAAATTTTACTTCCTTCATCAAATGCCTTAGGAATTCTTTTTATTTGACAGTTTCAAATTTCAGCTTTTGGTTATACATATGGATTAAGTCAATATGTGTGTGCGTTTATGTTTGTGTGTGTATATGTATTTGTATATATTTGTGTATACATGTGTATTGTCACTATATTTATTTTTTTAAAAATCATTAAAGACTTAATAGCTATTGCACAGAAAATGATATCTAAATGGACACAAATGTCAGCACTGTTATTCATAAAATATTTCTCATAAATGCAGATTTAAGTTGCAATTATATCAAGAGCTGTCCTTTTTCAAGAGTTACCTCATTGGCATAAAGCAAAAAAAAAAAAAAAAAATGATAGCACTGTGCCCTTAACCCTTGCACCACCAGGGAGGCCAGGCAAAAGGAATCTAGTAGAAGAGTCAGGAGCAGTGGGCATGGGAGGACAGGGAAAGGAAGGATGGAAGATGGAAGAAAATTCCCTCCATGATGGTGTAACATTTAGCATTCCCTCCTGCAACGTATAAAAATGTGTTTTCTCCTCAAACTTCATCAGCTTTATAAATGTTTGCCTAACTGAGAGATGAGAATTGGAATTTCATTGCCATTTTACTTTTCAAATTAACTTTCCACAGGGATTTGACCATTTTAAAAAAGAATTTTGATTTTCTTTCCTCAGGTTTTAATCATTCTTTCATCTTATCTATAAAGTATGTTGAAAATATTTTTCCAAGTTTTCATGTGTATTTTGACCTTGCATTAGGTGTTTTATGCTATGCCAGATCTTCCTATCTTTATAGTCATTATATTTATTTTTTAGGATAATTTAAGAATTCTTTCTCCAGAAAGTAATGATTGCAATTTTCTTCACGTGTATGTGCATATTCCTTTAATATTATACGATCCATGGTCCATTTGAAGTTTTTTCCTACATATGAGGAATATATCCAATTTTAACCTTTATAAATGACTATCCGGATGTGTGACAGAATATCTATTAAGAAGCCCATGTTTGACAGTAGTGTCTTTTCATATATGAATTTCTTTATGTAATTGAGACTACTTTTGGCCTTTTCATTCTATTCCATTAGTCTGTGTATTCTTTGTTACTAGCCAGCAAAGTGTTATAAATGGGGAAATTTGAAATTAGTTTTAATATTAGTAGACAGAGTCATTCCTCAGAGCTCAGCTTGTGTAGTCTGCATAGTCCATTGACTGTCTTTCACATGAACTTCAGTGTCAATTTGTTCAGTCCCATCAGTCATTGGATGTTTGTTGGGATCACTTCAAAGATATAAATTCACTTAAGCAAGGTCTTATCCAAAACCAAATGTGTTTACCTTTCTAAATTCAACTGTTTTGTCTTTCTGAAATCTTTCACATATTTTTCATATATATTATGAATAGCTTTTTTAAGTATATTTCCAAACACTTCAGTTTTTCACCATTGCAAATAAGGTTTTTCATGTATTATGTATTGCACATGATTTGTATGTTGTGGCAGCTGTATCTCTAGAGATACTGAGAGAATAGGATTTGTGTGGTTTTATTTGAAATTTTTAATTTTTAGATTGAAGGTAAGATATGTAATAAAACCACTCTTTTTTTTAAGATTTTTTTTTCCATTGACGACTTTTATTATTGCATCTTTTTTTTTTTTTTTTTTTTAAATAGAGGCATGTTTCATTTATTTATTTGTTTGTTTGTTTGTTTTGTTTATACATGCACTGGGTACAGTCAGAAGCACGGGAGGGTGAGAGAATTCACCAGAGCCAGAGCGGGGAGCAGAGCAGGCAGAAGGACCGAAGTACACTGCTGAGGGGAGCAGCGGGCGGCAGGAGAGGTCTGCGCGCCATGTGGGACCCTCCTCTGGTGGCCGGGGAGCAGTCGGGGATCGAACCGGCGCCGCAGAGGCCGCGGGCAGCTTCGCAACCCAGTGCTCAACCGCTGCGCCACCGGGGAGGCCCTATTATTGCATCTTAAAGATGTATCACAAATAGATCTAAGAAATCATCCATTATCTTGCTGCTCTGTAGCTGGACAACTTAAATCTTATTCATCATGAACTGTTCCTTTTTCAGAAACATAGATACCATCCAAAAATTTCCTAATATCCTTGTTTTTAACTGTCGTGGCTTGCTGAATCAAAGCAGCTGAATTTGATACAAGTTCAATGTCGTTTCCTTCAAGAATCAACTCATCTTTCTGGGCTTGAGATACTGAACAAGCAACACCTTGTCTCATCCGAACCCCGCGAATGTATTTTTTGCCCAAGAAATTTCGGATTTCAACAAGAGACCCATTCTCCTGAATAACAACGTTGATAGGGAAGTGAGCATACACAGACCTCATCTTATAACGGAAGCCCAGTGTAACACCTTTGATCATGTTCTGTACATGACTACAGATAGTGCGAACAGTAGCCAGTTCCTTTCTATTTCCCGACCATTTGTCAACCTGGAGCCTCTTCTTTTTCTTTTTTTTTTTAAATAATAAATTATATTTTTATATTCCCCATACAATTTGCAACCCCCCTATTCAGAACCCAATCCCTCCCCTCCCGCCCCCACCCCCAAAAAGTGTCTCTGGTTCAAAGTTTTTTGTTGATTTTGATTTTCACTTTCTTATAGTTATTCATTTTCCTGGTCCCTTTTTTAAGTTTTCTAGATTCCTGCTATGAGTGAGACCATCCGGTATTTTTCTTTTTCTTTCTGGCTTATTTCGCTGAGCATGATCCCTTCCAGCGCCATCCGTGTTGCTGCAAATTGCATGTGTTTATCTTTTTTTGAATGCTGAGTAATATTCAATGGTATATATGTACCATATCTTCTTGATCCAGTCATCTATTTTTGGGCATTTGGGCTGTTTCCAAAGCTTAGCTATTGTAAATAGTGCGGTCCACAGTCTGATTGCTGAGAATGGCCTTCATTCTCGCAGTAGATGAGGCAAAGAGAGAACTTCTAGATTTATTTATTTTATACAAGAACCGGGTACAGGCCAGATGCGCGGGAGGGTGAGAGGATACACCAGAAACAGAGCGGGGAGCAGAACAGGCAGACTGACGAAATACACTGTTGAGGGGAGCAGCGGGCTAAACAGGAGCGGTCTACCATGCAATGTGGGATTCTAGCAAGTGGCCTGGCATAGACCCCTCACTGCAGAGGATGTAAACAGCTTCAAAGTCCTCTGCTCAATGGCCTGCGCCACCAGGGAGTCCCAAAACTATTCTTAACACATTAAAGATACTGATAATCAAACAAGTTACTTTTTTTCTTTTTTATCCAATGGCATGAAAGTAACAATACACAGCAGAAGAAACCAGAAGGTTCCCAAATTTGTGTCACATCTGTTTTTGTAAATAAGTTATCTGTAAAACAAACCATTTACCTATATCCAAGATTTCTTTTTAATTACAATGCCAGAGCTAGAGTTTAAACAGATGACCCAAAGGTAGAAAAAAAATTCTATCTACTTTCTTTAAAGAGAGATTTCCAAATACTCACTAGAATTTATATTTTCAAAGTTCAAAAGGTATAAAAATTAATGAAATTAGAAAGGGTATTTAAATATTAAAATGATTTCCAAATTTATGAAATGGAATGAAACTGTAAATTTTCAAAGATTATTTCAAGTAACCTGTGTTTAAATAAAGGCAAATAATATGAGCCAGCAGGAGAAAGAGAATTAATTTTAGCAGTGGGAGCCATGAAACCTCCAGGAAAAACCTCCCCGACATTCATATTGACATGGAGACATATATATGGTATGTCAACTCTGGTGAAATATAAATATTATATCTGTATGTATGTATGTATTTATTTATTTATTTTCAACTCTGGTGAAGCTGCTGATATGTGTGTCCTGAAAGTGGTTTCAGGAGAGCTCAATGAAAAGTTCCTTATTTTTTTTAAACTTTATTTTTTCTTTTTAAAGATTTATTTATTTATATAAGCACTGGGTACAGTCAGAAGTGTGGGAGGGTGAGAGAATTCATGAGAGCCAGAGCAGGGAGCAGAACAGGCAGACCGACGAAGTATACTGAGGGAAGCAAAGGGCGTGGCAGGAAAGATCTTAGTGCCCTGTGGGACCTTTGCAAGGCGGCTGGGGATCTAACCGACACTGCAGCGCACACGGGGGAGGCCCTCCATGAGAAGTTTCATCCAGAGTCCCATCAAACAGAAACAGGCTGAGAAATAACTGTCTAAATTGCAAGCTGACATTCAAATATTAAATTGTCCCTACGTACCACTTGGAATTTTGAACTGTAATCAACTGACCACAACTTCTTAGTTAGTTAGTTCACTGTCCTTATTTTTGCCAACAGCCAAAAACTGACATTGAAGCATCTTTGGATATAAGCATGAACTCTCAATCCATCTGCAAAATAACTATCTTTATTATAAAAGTTATATCACATTAAAAGCGAAACTAAGAGCTAAATATTAGGATGAATAGAAAAGGATTACATGTCCTGCAATCTGTGAATTAAATCCTTGGTTATTTTATCAAGAATCAAAAGTCCTTATTTAAATTCAATATCCAAGGACTCTGAAAATGAAGTATTGAATCCTAACTGAAGTTTGAAACTCAGTCCCAACATATGCCCACAGGACTTTCCACAACACCAAAATGTTCTTCCATGTACCAAACCTTACAAGATTACATACATCAATATTTAAAGAAAAGTATGAAGAATTGCTTAAACCAATGATTGATCCCACATCTAGATCAACACATAGAGAAATTTACTGAAGTGAAAACAAGTTCTTCAAATCAGAGACAGAAAAATTCCACTGCAAGTCACACAATCCTAATGAACTTGCAGTGAACAACACAAGGAAGGGCTCTACTGTGTGATGTATGATGTTTCTACTATTGGGGACCAAGTTGTTAGAGGTGGACAACCACAGGGCTATGTGGGTGACCTGCGTATGTCTTCACCTTTATATTTTAGGACATGGGACGAGACTGAAAAGCAGAAACAACAGATAAATTTTAAAATGTTTTATTTACAAGGGGATAGAAAAAGGAGAGAGAGAGAGAGAGAGAGAGATCAACTGGATATTTCCTACCAAAAGTATCAACTGAGGTGAGACGCCAGGGTGCAAGTCAAATCTGGAAAAGCAAGAGAGTGACAGCATGCATTTGTTTAGGATTTAAGGCAAATATGGCTGCATAACTCTCCCCAAGTTCCTAGTAGACCCTGTAAAGGAAGCCAGATTCAAGGAACACTGGGAGTTGTAAGTATCTGTGATCTCAGTGGCTTGGAGACTAGTGTGTAGTCTATAAACAGATCAGTGGGTGAGGTTCATTTAGCATTGCAATCACAGGCTCACATGACTCCTACCATTCCTATAACTAAGAAAGAACTAACTACACAATTTCATGAAAACGATAGAATACCTAGCAATCTAAATGCAAAGGTCAAATACAAAGACACATAATAGAAAATTGTCAATTATCAAACATTAATATACAGATATCCAGGAAGAACTAATTTCAAGAAACAAGAAAACAAAATGTCTCTTCCAAATTTAGTATGCATACAAAAGACTTTAGTGATGTTGACATATATCATTTAATATGAATCTTTGCTTTATCTAAATTTCTACAGAGGTTGTATAAAATTATATGCATAAAGCCTACGCAATACAATGTTGAACATGCATTTATCAAAATATCCATTACAATATTTATATATATATATCTTGATGATTTATAATTTCAAGCACAGTAGCACAAATTTATCAATTTTAAAGCATTTCAAATACGTCAAAATCATACATACAATCAGACACATTTTACATACATACAATCAGACACATACATATAATTAGAAACATTTTACAGATTCTAGAAATACATAATTGGAATACCATTCTTTAGATGGACCGTCATTCTCCACTTCTGCTCCAAGAAACACCTGTAAGTTCTTGCTTACAGATAAATAATTGTGTCCACATGCAGGCTTGATCCTGAACACCAAGGTTTGGGTTGTATACTATGCAGTTCTTCGGATTTGTAGTTTTATAGGATGAGAATCTGTAATTAAAAATAAAATACTAACACTTGGGAAAAGGAAATGAGACTATTCATTGGTGGGTGTTTACCAAATAATAGCTCTTTTCAAAGCATTCGATTGACTCATTACCGACTCATTGAGCCAGTATGTTTTTTATACAATAGCCACAATTTTGACACTTACAGAGAACAATATTACAAAACTAGGCTATGCCTCAGGAAACAACAGCACAGAGTTCAGTCATTTTTTTTGCATTTGTTTTAATGGATTTGATATAGTATATACTCTGCATCAATTTTGCTTAAATATGTTTTGACTAAACTGGTCTAGGTAAACAAGGTAGGTGATACAAAAGTATGATACTAAAAACTCTGTGTTTATCAACAAAAAGGAGATTCAAAAACTACAAACACACAGAAAATTAGTCTAGATATTTTGAAAAGAAGGAAGTGTAAGCTGAGGCTATTGGCTTCCAGCAAAATAAAAGCTATCATGGACACTGCTTTCTGTGGATAGTTCCTGTGAATGTACCATCTGTGCATCCATCCACACCCATCAGGGTGAAAAAGCCTCATCTCACTTATCCCACAAGTTCTTTTTGGTCACATGTACACAAATTTGATGGTAATTGACTTGTGTTTTCCAGATGCAACAAAATTATTATTCTTTTGAATTGAGTTTGTCTACATTATCATGCTTTAGGAAAAGGATCTTAGCTAGAGTTGTGGAGAGATAGGAATAAGATCATACAGAACAGAAAAACTCTGAACAGAACAAACTTACAGATCTGGAGGGAGAGCAGTGCCATTCAGCCACACCCAGGTTTGTAGTTCTTTACTGTAGATGACTCCAATCCAGTAAAATTTGCTACTTAATTTCATAAAGTGCTGCTCAGAGACAGAAACAAACAATTGTAATTTAAATCTACTCTGGACTAATATTGTTTTAAAAAGTTAGTTCAAATTCCTGCTATGTGGACTATAAACAAGATGAAAATGCATACATTTGCAAAAATGAAAATTGATGTACTAAATATATTAAATTAAAAATTAAAACAAGAAACACTTTCACAAAAATAAAAAAAAAGTATCCAACATCAGATTCAGCCTTTCAATCATAAACACTTAAAAGCAGTTTTAATTCTTGACTTAGGAGGTGGTCACAAGTCTATTTTTTCCTCAAATATCAAGCCTATCCACTTACGGGGGAAAATAACATAAAAATCTCAGGTCTTCCCAGAATGAAGACTTTATCATATATATTACTATGTATTAAATATTATATTATAAAGGGAGTTAGAATGTTACTTCACAGGAGACTGACATCCAAATTTGACTCTACAGCAAAGTCTTATGAAATAAATTTTGTGGGTAACATCTTCTCAACCTATATTCAGTACAGATTCTGCACACAGCTAGAGAAATATTTCACTTTTTCTTAAGAACTGGGTAATTTTTATGATCACACATTTCATTTTCATTGCATATCCCATAATGATGACACAATATACAGAATTACAAAATAAATTACAAAATTAATGAAGCACTGAGATTCAGTTATTTAGGTTTTTTTAGAAAAATACTCATCTATTAGTTTCTCTTTGAATTCTCTCTAAAATATCTCTTGTACGTTATCTGACATTTCTCTTGAGCTTTTCACAGTAAAACTCTGAATTTATCAAATTCCTGATAAAATTTAATAAGTTTTATAATGATTAAGTTAAAGGCTATTAGTAAGTCATTATTTAAAAAATATTCTTAATTATCTGATTAAAGATGGAATCTAATTCATCCTACTTAAATAGTACACATTCCTAGGTAAAAAAAAAATACGTAGGAAACCAGAATTAAATACATGCCAATTCATCTCTGTTGTGCATCTGAAAAAGTGTGGAGTTCTGAGAAACACAGATATTTTGACTTTCATTCCAAGTTTTTGGTTCACTGGAAATGAAGTAACAGTTGCATCTGTACAGGATCCATCTTTCCTGGCAAGAACAACAGACAGAATCTAAGAAAAAAAAAAAAAAAAAAACGTGACTTTTGATATTGGAGATTCTGATTTTTAATACTCTTCTCCTATAAAAATATTGGTGTTTTTCCTACAACTTTCTAAAAAACTAAATTCAGTGTTGAACACCCATTATAATATTTATCTTGATGCTTTATAATGTCAAATTCATCAATTCTAAACATTTCAAATACATGAAAATCATATGATTCAACACAATTAGAAACATTTTACAGATTCTAGAAGAACCTAATTGCAATACCATTCTTAAGGAGGACCCTCATTGTCCACTTCTGCCCCAAGAAATACCTAAAAAATTGTTGCCAAAAAAGGAAGAAATTCTTTGAACATCTATCTGAATATAACTGGATAGTCTAGAGACAGTTAAAAAAGTTTTTTTCTGGGGGCCTCTCCTGGTGGCGCAGGCACTTGAGCACAGTGCTGTGACACTGTTTGCAGCCTCTTTAGCGCCGCTTCGATCCCGGCAGGCCAGAGAGTGTTCCACATGGCGCAGCAGACCTCTCCTGTTGCGTCTGCTGGTCCCCTCAGCAGTGCATTTCGTCACTCTGCCTGTTCTGTCCCTGCTCTGTTTCTGGTGAGTCCTCTCGCCCTCCCCTGCATCTGGCCTATACCCTGGTTCTTGTATAAATAAATAAATAAATCTGTTAAAAAAAAAAAAAAAAAAAAGTTTTTCTGTTCAGTCTTAAATGTACACAATGTCCCGTGTCAGTTATATCCCAAAGCTAGAAACAAATTGAAGGAAAAAAGAATAAAATAAAGTGAGAAATAATCACAGAAGATATTGAGACAACTTTGAAAGCTTACTAGGTAAAATACATTAAAAATTGTGCATTGAACTGCTGAAATCTGTTTACTATATTCTGAGTGATGGGAGATGCAAAAACACAGGAAAAGATATAAATTCATGGGTTATGAACAAACACAATTACGTAATTAGGATTAGCTGGGATATATAATAGAACTTACATTTTATTTATTACTTAAATATGAATGTTCATATAGCAAAAACTAGGTTATTTCAGGTTAACATTTTCCTTATTTAAATACACAAATGATGCATATTCAAAGTAATTTAATAATTCTCACAATGGAAGACAAGGAAATGAGACAATCCTGCAATTAATATATCAACTTGCAAAACTAGATCACAGTACTCCATCATGATTCTGTGTGAGAAAAACAGGAAATTGTATATTTCATCCTCTATCAACCTCAATTTACAAAGTGTGGAATTTACCTTCCTGGGATATGAGGGTGGTTCCTGGAGAAAGTGTTGGTTCAGTATCTGCTTGAGGAAACACTATCAGAAATGATAAGAAATTAACTATTAGATACAAGTTTGTGAAACGATAAAATAATTCACATTAGTAAATGAAAGCTTTATTAGAAATCAATCAAAAGAATGATTTCATCAGTGCTCTGAACTATATATAAACTTGACCAGGAAAACTCACAGTTTTTCAACACAATTCCCAAAATAGCCATCAACAAAAGGCACAATATTGCTAAGATCCCAGAAATCCACCTCCATGGAGTGGTGCAAAAACCTATAAAGAAAGAGAGGTAGGGTAATGACTTCAAAGAAAGACATAGATCCGAAGACCTCAAAAACAGAAACTAGCACAAGAGAATCGAAAATAAGTTTTTGGTTTGAAAACCTCTTCATCTTCCCAGTGAATCACTAGAAATATGAAGACAATGCATAGAAAACTGAAAACAAAAATCTATTCTTCTGTGAGATTATCCACACTTTTTCTTTTTGCCAAATGCATGTCATTAATGTGATTTACAAATTATTTATTTGTTGGCATAGAAATTGAGACATTATAGAGTAGAAGTGATCAGACAAAAAATTATGTTTTGTTCTTCATGCCAACATTTACTTTGATTTTTTTCATCAAAATCACAAGTGATATGATTCTTATTAGATAGTTGAGAAAACTAGAATTCATTAATAATGTTATTTTTTAAGGCATCAACACTAGTAATAATTCAGAAATAAAATAAATTTGTCTCCCTGAGTCTTTCATGTAATTTATTTATCACTGTGTAAATCACACTTCTAAGGACTGTGCACTTCTCCTAATCTCAATGTATTCCCTGATAAAGTGCTGTCAGGCTGCAAATAACTCTGGGAGGTCCTGTGGGGAAGAAAAGACAGGACTCTCTGGTCCGGGGATGATCATATGCTCCCAAAACAATTATGTGACACACCCGGGCAACCGGCATTTATTTCACATATTTTGAAAGATGATATAAAAGCAACCATTTTGAACAAGACATTTTCTCATTCCCAGAGTTATTTTCCTGCAGGAATTTCCTCTCAAGCAATTGACCATTAGAAGATTCAGCACAATCTCTAAGAACAGTGTCAATAACAGTCTATTGTGTCAGACTATTAATCAGGATGACCTTGGATGTCAAACATAAATGGTCAACTTATATAAACTTGTAAGCATCATAAAGGATATTTGGTCTCCCCTATATTTTTTTTAATAATAAATTTTATTTTTATATTCCCCATACAATTGTCCTATATTTTTTTAATGCTCAAACTGTACTGTTCATACTTTTACCTGGTAAATCAGTCCCATAAGCATTTAGTGCTATCCCTGTCAGAAGCCAAACTTCTAAACTGTTGGAAAAACTTCCACAAACTAATTTATATGGCAGAATGAAGAATTATGAAAATAAAATTAAATGGAAAATATTGATATATGATAAACAAAAAAATCTCACTTTTTCCTGTCTTGTCCTGAAGTTAGCAAATCCATGACATACACCTTCAGGTTGTTTTGATTTTTTTAACTGTTCAGTTTGGATTACACATACCTGCCATGAGGAGAGATGTCCCAGTCCATGCAGAGAAGACTCACAGTGTGCTTGTTTCAGAAAATCCGGGTCATGTCATGGACTGAGCTGGAGGCTGAGCAATCTTGAGTTTGCGTAGGAAAAATGTAAAAGAAAAAGAGAAATTGTGCAAACAGTGTTCTTATGTCACCTATGTACTGGTGAGAATGGATGGACAGTCTGAACCAGAAGCAGCAAAATCACGAGCTTCTGAATGTCTGGGACCACAATACAGGAAGTTGCTGTACCTGCCAAAGCTTCCCTTTGTTAATGGTAAAAGGTCAGCGTGAGTTTTGTTTTTTTTTTTGTAATGACTAAAGATCAAAATAATTTTTAAAAAATATTTGGGGGCCTCCCTGGTGGCACAAGGGGTTAAGCACAGCACTGTGAAGTTCTCCACAGCCTCTGCAACACAAGATTGATCCCTGGCCAGCCAGGGAACTACCCACATGGCGCAGCAAACCTCTCCTGTCTTGCCCGCTGCTCCCCTCAGCAGTGTACTACAATCTGCCTGTTTTGTTCCCCACTCTGTCTCGGTGAATCCTCTCATACCTTGTACCTCTGGCCTGTACCCCAGTTCTTGTATGCGTAAATAAAGAAGTCTTAAAAAAAAGAGTTTGGAAAACAGGAGGAACATGGGGAAATTTAAATATGCAATTAGTATAATAAAGTTGCACATAATAAAAATTTCCTTTTTTAATAAGAAAGTCATTACTTACATGGTGCCTCACACTAATTAAAGCACTTAGCATAGTTTAGATTTCTTTCTGAAACTGACTTAATAATGAAGATATATAAATAAACTCATTATTGGTTGAAAACCAAAGGCATGAAAAACTAAGAAAATTGTCAAGAAGACTTACATTTGAAACGTGGTAGTATATCTCCATGAATGCATGCAGTTAATTTTAAATTAAGCCTTTTCTCCACATTTGTGTATTTTGTGAATTTTCATTTTCATAGCACAGAGTAGTTGACATTTCCATGTCTTATTCTGCACTATAATCCCTGACTCTATAACTCAGCTAGGGAAGTCAAGGATAAAAATAATTTAGAAGCACAGTGACCTCCCACTATTGTTCTAGGCATACACGCACGCACACGCATGCACACACACACACAACACACACACACACACACACACATGTGCTCTAGCACAGTCTCCGCTGGCCTGAGCCGGCACTCAGTGTCTCATTCATGTTAACCTTCAAACCTTCCTTCAACACTTGTCTCCCCAGTGTTCCCTTCCCCTCAGGGCTTTGAAAGTGACTATACCTCATACAGGAAGACATCGGTAATACCATTACTAAGCTAATTAAATAATCACTAAGCTAATTAAATAATTAATTAATGATATTAATAATTAATTAATAAAATAATTTTCCACCTAATAATGAGGTTGAAAAGATTTCTGAACCTTGAATTGCTGAGATAAAGGACCTCCAAGATTCATCCTGGGCTGGAAAATAATAACACCTCTTTATACCTTTACAATAAATATATTGAAAGCAGAAATAGTATCAGCAGCTCCTTAAAGAAGTAGCAAAGAACAAACAGAAGAAGAATCATTGATTTCACTGCCAACCTCTTTTATAATGTGAATTTTTAATGAATATTCAAGTTTAGCTTTGGAAACAAAATGAACTTCTGACCAAAAAACATAAATTCCCCCAAAAGAATAATTCATAAAGCACACATAAATATTTTGAAAGATGGTATTTTGTAATCTGCACCAACCATCATATAAAGAATGTTACTACTCCTAATTCTCATCTTATTGAAAAATAAAATTGTTTTAGTTTGATACATATTGTCCTTATACCTTAAGAAAGAAATGAAGTTTTCTGTAGTTCACATGAGCACATTGTTTGGTGAAAATGTGAAACCAAATCATGTGCAACTTATCTGTATTCTTAGGGCTTGTAACATACAGTTAGGATCAAAATAATATTAACAACCCAAGTTTACTAGGATATGTCAATGACATTATCACAAGAGTTTTAAAATATATGACACAAGACATTTAGGAAAAGTGTTCTCTCTCAGTTGATCAATGAAAAAAGAGCAAAAGCTTCCTGTAGTGTGGAGCAAGAACATCTAAGAGGAAAAAAAGTTCTGAGTCTAGTCCCCACATCATTTTATTTTGAATGATACTTTTGCTTTATTTCTATTAATGTATGGAATTACTTCTTTTTTTATTATTATTATTATTATTATTATTATTATTATTATAGTACATCATTTTTCCTTTCTGTACAGTCCATGTTCTCTCCTCTCAGGTGCAGTCCCCACCTCTTAGGTAAGTTTTCTTCTGGCAAAATCTGGAAGTAATCACTGTGATCCATGACTTCAAAGTGAGAGGCTCAAATTGGTTTATAAAATACATTAAAATCGAAATATTTGATGATTAAAAAAAAAAATCAGGTGTTTTATATTTTTTTATATTTACACTTCAAGCAGAGACTTGAATTATATCAAAATAATATATTTGGTTTAAAATTTATATAATATATTACAATAAAATACACATTGATACAATTCACTGTCTTTGGATGTGGGAAAATGATCCTGAGGTGTTAAAATGTATGGAGTCCCTTTTTTGTCAGTTTTGGCTTGAATTCTCCAAGAAAACTGTGAAAAAGGATGTTTCTTATAAACATAATGGCTTTCATTTTACACCTTTCCACTTTCCCTGCACCGTACAGACTGATGATGATAATTGAAACAAAGAGAATATATGCATGTGTGTGTGTGTGTGCGCGTGTGTGTGTGCATCACATACCTGTCTACAAATACATAAGGTCTAAAATCTGCATGGACACACAGGCACTTTCATCCCTTGGGCCAACTGGGGTAAACTGGATGGAGAAGAATAATTATTATTTTGTTTTCTTTCTTTCCTTCTCTCACGTTTCACATCTGGAGCTTGACTTCACTATGGAATGTGGATGACTGACGTCATATCTAAGGTTCAACTCAAAGAAAAAATACCCACAAAAACTCTCAGACACTTAGCACAATATAGAAAGGAAAATAGCACCTCCATCACCGGTGCTGATTGGATCTGATAGAGTCAAAGATGGTCAGAGGTTTATAAAGCCCTGGTTGAAAGAGAGTCAATTAAATAAAATGAATCCCAACCCTGCAGCCCAGAGACACGAAGATTCGCACATTCATTTTTGCTCCTGCAACTCAAGGCACCTTATGTTTTGAGTAAACTAAATTCCTGCCATCGGATGTAGCCATTGAGTCTTGCACTCCAAAGTGTTTTTTCTCTTTTATTAAGAAAATTATCTTGGATTCATCTTTTTATATTTCTCTTTTTTCAATCTTTTTTGGCCAGTCATTTATAGAATGTAAATCACCCTCACCTGCCTTCATCTAGGAGAGTCAGAACAGAGATGTGATGAGCAGTGTTTCCTTCCTAATTTATTAAAGATCCCACCTCCTGACTTCTGAATCCAGTGAAACACTGTGGGTAAGGGCTGGCTTGTCCTGTGCCTGGAAAGTCAGGGCAGGTCCCATGAAGCCGCAACAGGACCTTCTTTCTTAAAAGGATGGGACTATTTTGGATATTTAGACCTCTAAGACAGTTCCATTTGATATTTCAGAAAAAAAACCTGCATCATTTTAATACAAATGATAAAATGACTTAAATTACTAGCTTGATGGAGCTCCAAGTAGCTGTTAAATAAAACAATGGATGACATTTTACTCTGTGTTCAAATCAATATTAGATTATGTTTTTATTTCTCTTTAGGATAGGGTAAGTGCACTGAATACATATATATTAGTCATGTATTCAACAATTTGACTCATTTTTGCAGAAACATGGCTCTGTATACTGATCTAATTCTTATTGATCTATTTTATTATAAATTTTCCTAAATGCTATCAATACTTCCTAAAAACTTGAATTTTATAAAATTTCTGTATTTTCATATTATCTAAAACTTGATCTATAATAAGCCTAGAGGCCGAGAAAGATTTACATACGTGTTCAATGTCTAGCAGTCAAATTAAATGTTTACATTCGTTTTTAAGTATTTTTCAATAGCTCCCAAAGGAAACAACCAATAATTGACTCTCTTCTGAAAAATACACTGTAATTCCTGAAGGAGGGCTTGTCACCACTATATGAAAGTGCATTAGAAACAAACCGCAGTCGGGCCTCCCCTGGTGGCAGAGGTGGTTGAGTGCTGCGCTATGAAGCTGTCTATAGCCTCTGCAGCACAGGTTCGATCTCAGCCAGCCAGAGAGGGTCCCACATGGCAAGCAGACGTCTCCCCCGCTGCTCCCCTCAGCAGTGTACTTCATCAGTCTGTCTGTTCTGCTCCCCACTCTGTCTCTGGTGAATCCTCTCACCGTCCCGCATATCTGGCCTGTACCCCGGTCTTATTTAAATAAATAAATAAATCTTTAAAAAAAATGAAGTGCAGTCACTTAGAATAGTAGCTAAATATGAAGAATTAATTGAGCACAGACCTTGTGTTGCAAAATCACTTCCTTTTACTGGGGATTATCAGATGATAATGTACATTTTATACTCATTAGATCTCATAGGATAAATCATGTGTTTTAGTTATACTTATATACTTGAAGATTTATTTGTCATTAATTTGTTCTTAAGATCAGTAGAGAAAAAGGAAAAAGGAAAAATGTGAGATAATTATCTTCATGGAGTTTGTCTTGTAGCACAAACTTTCTACATGGTGAAACTTATCATCAAGGTCTTTTTTGCAACTACCCTATGAGGTAGATTCTCTTATTCACTTATTTTTATAGAAGATGGATAGAAACTGTACACAAATTGTTTGACTAACAAGACTGACATCATCCAGGTGGCAGAGACAAGCCATCAATCCAGACAGTTCATCTTCACACCCTGTGTTGTCAATTACTCACTGCATCAAACTGTGGAAATGAAGACAGGAAGCCAGTGTTAATACTTCAGCATTTCCCAGAGTCTCATTTAACTGACCTCTACAG